GGTGAGATAGTGTGGAATGAAGCCACCGTATATTTTCTAATAAAACAAACAGGAGCACAGAGAATAAAAAATGGAAAATGACAAAACTGAATTGAAATAGCCTTTCTACAGCAGCGATCCCACAACGGCGCCTCGTAAACATTGTTTATTTCCATAAAACTTGGCTTGAGATCAAAATGCTGCAGCCCAGGAGGGCGAGCACGCACACACACACACACCAACACACCCACACACACACATTCACACACGGTGCAGTGGTGGTGTGTTTGATAGAGAGGGCTGCTGGGTAAAAGCTATAGCGTCTGATATTAACCAGCATAAATCTCCTGCAGGGACACACACAGTGGAATATGCGAAACACACGTGGGCATGCAAAGTTCAAACAGTGGCGTCACTTCACTGCAAGAGATTATCAGAACAAAAATATCAAATCGAATGCTGAGGACTCCTAAATAAAGGTTTCCCCTCAATAATCCATCAAGTGTGTTGTTCGATATCAATGAGTTGGTGATAGATGAGTAAACAACTAGATAGAATGATGCTGGAAAAATATCAATGAAAGAGAAAGTTTTCCAATCAATCATCCACCCGTTCTTTCACTCCACTTGTCCAAGGCTGGGTCGTGTAGCAGCGGGCCAAGCAGGGCGATGTAGACATCCGTCTCCTGAGCAAATATGTATATATATTTATACACATGTATACATACATGCAAGACTGGCATTAGTCTCCTCCCAGATGTGCACAGAAACCCTCCAATGGAAGTTAACGAAGAGGAATCCTGATAAGATGAACCACGTCTGCGAGCTCCTTTCGACACTGATGATCTGCTCGCCCCGTGTTCTCGTTATTTGGTCACTTCCCAAAGATTGTGAGTGTAGATTCCACTGATATGTCGTATACAACGTAATATCAAAGAATCTATAAAGTACATATATTAACAGTTAAAGGTCGGAATGTATGATGCGTTTATGAGGGGTGTGGCACCAGTGGCATCGACCTCTCTTTGCGTCTGTCATCCATCTTTTGCCTTCACCTGCTCTATTTCACCATTCTTTCTCTCTCTCTTTTTTACTGTTCTCCACCCAACTCACTTATTCAATCACATACTCACACATACACTTTCCCTCCCGGGGGTTATCCCCCACAGACGCACACCGTATTACCCAAGATGCAGTGCCGTACGGCGCGCCTGCCTTTTCATTGGCCAATAAAACAACCTGAGCTTTATGGCTCTACCGATCCCAAGTACATCAACTGTAGAGGGAGAGGGAGAGAGAGGAGGGGCGACGAGAGGTAGAGGATGATGGGAAGAGAACATTCACCTGAGGTTTATTACCCAGACTCCTCCTTTTGAGAGAAACAGAGAGAGAATGGGTGAGTAGATCAAGTGTGGAGCTAGAGAAAGAAATGGAGAGAGACTTAAGGACATAGTGGAGAAAAAGAGAAGGGTGGACAGAAAATACTCACCACAGTGGGGAGAGTGATAAAACAGAGAGAGAGAGAGAGAGAGAGTCTACCACTCAACAGGGAAAGAGAAAGAATGAGTTAGTGGATAAGACGAGAGCGAATGCAGGCAGAGAGTGTAAAGCCCATAAAAATATAGAGAGCCATTCATGACTCGTAAAATAACAGCCATCGATATGCAAACCAAAACTGCAGCGTAGATGAAATAGATAATATTTTATTGTTTCAGCCCCCAAGTCCCAGTCTGTATAAATAGCTATTGATTTAACATGTTTTATTCAGGCAGCCAGGCAAACTTTCAGACGTCTTGGGAGGCGTCTGCTGCTCCGTCAGGGGGTTTCAGCTGCCGTCGTCTATTGGATAAAGGTTTTATTCCAACTTTCTTAACCTGAGAGGCCTTTAGGTGTGTTCTCGGTGAAATGGCAAAGAAACCAAAGAACCAAATGAGAGCTGGACCGAATCTTGGCCGGAGGAGAACAGTGGCGTTCAAGCAAAACCAGAAGTGAAACACGAGAGAAATCTGAGCGTGTTCTTCTTGCCCGCTGTCTGTTGGGATTACCTCCAGCCCCCTCGAAGCACTCAAAGGGTAATCACTTTAGATGATGGATGGATAGTTCCCATGTTTAACTGCACTTTAGTTCACTAAAAAGACAGTGAAATATTAGAAATGAGAACATGATCCAGACCAACTACAAGGACATTTAATAGAAAGAACTGAAAGTCTCGCCCGGCGCATAAAATGGAGACTTTTTAGAAAAACTGTGGATCCTGAATTAGTAAGAAAAGTCTGTCCTGGAACGAAAAGAAACCGAGAACTGAAATGATTTTTGTGTTTTAATCAAAAGTGAAAGGAGTCAATCGCTTCTTAACTTTGTTGTGAAAGTAGAATCAGTGAACAGAGCAGTTTTTCTCTCCCGCAGATGTTTTTGTTATTGCTCTCTTTACTCTTTTTCCTTCTCTTTCACTCTCTCTCCAACACACACACACACACACACTCACACACACTCACACACACTCACACACACTCACACACACACTCAAACACTCACACACACTCACACACACACTCACACACACTCACACACACTCACACACACTCACACACACTCACACACACTCTCACACATTCACACATAAGCACTCCAGCCGGCAGGCCGAGGCGGAGTGGGGCACCCAGCTGCCAGGGCTTTGATTTGAGGCTGTTAATGGTGCGACGAGGGCCGCCCGACGTCCATGAGCGTGAAGTGCTAAGATCCTCCTTCCATTGCCTCACACCAAAAAATAACACACACACACACACACACACACACACACAAACACAACCTCTAGGCTACCCATTTTCCACAAACATCCATCTGCATCACTTGTTATCGCTCTTTCTTGCTGCTCCCCCCTCTCAGCCTCGGTTTGGCTCCAGCTCTCCAGTCCTCTTTTCTCCTTCATTTATTTTAAATGGTTCTTTTTTTTTTTTTTTCCTCTTTCACTTTGACTCCAGAACTGTTTTTCTCATATTTTGTCTCATTCTCACTCTATTTTTCAGGACCTTCTTCCTTCCTTCTCCACTTTCTCAACAATAGCCGTGTTTACTCAAATGGGTTTAATGTACAGACTAGCTCCAGCAGCCCCTGTGACCCTCAAAGGATAAGCGTTACAGATAATGGATGGATGAGTGTAGAATCAGTTGAATCACTTATTCAGAAGGATGCATTTGAAGGACTGTCCACTCTTCTCGACACAGCTAGTGTTAAATCTCCTCGTCTTCCCAAGCCGATCTCCTTCTTGGGGTCTTCCAGTTGTTTTCCATCCTGAGATATTTGCATTCTTGAAGTTTTGCGTCCGTCCTGTGTCAAAAACATCATAAACACACCAAGAAGAGTTCCAGAGAACTGGAAGAGACTCAGATATTTGCATTCCCACATACAGCCTCAACATATCGTGGCTTTCAAGGTGCAGCTCAGAAAAACAGCTTAATTTGAAATGTATCCGACCGGATAGAATTCCTTCGCTGCAGCTTTGTCTCTCAGCTGTTGTTCCTCCACATGTTTCTTCTACACTCCTCCATTATCCTGCACTTATTGTTTCCTTCTGTCTCTCCCCTTCAGTTTTACTCTCGGCTTCACTTAAGCCTCACTTTTCTCACCCTGTGTTGTTCTGTCTGAATTCATTGCACATCAGCTTATCTGCAGAAACAGAAAAGGGGCCCGAAGCTGTAACACATCAGAAGTGATTTCACCGGGACTCGTGTTCTCTGTCTCAGTCATTCTGTCTTAAAGTTTTGGGTCATTTAGCCTTTGGTGGACTGACCACAGCAGAAAGGGCAGAAGGGAAATGGTTATCCTCTCTCCATGGTTCATTACTCTTTCCCACTCTCAATATATTCTTCCTGCTGACTATTTATTTTGTCAATATTTTACATTTCAACAATTTCTGTTAGTTCAAATCTAGATATCTCCATTTGAATAGGACTTGGCAGACGCGGCGCTCTCGGTCCAGCCTCAGTTATTAAATGTGTGTTTTGTAGTTGCAGCTCTGATGTTTTTTCCTCTGGAGATTCCCAGTTGGCAGTCGACTAAACCGAGCTGCCCTCACAAGTTGCATTTGTCAAGAAATAAATCCCAGAAGACAAATGATGGGAAAGACTACAACCATTCCAGGGGCTGCTCTGTGGCTCTGCTAGTTTAGAGAGAAGAATCGCGTTGGTGGAGGTTTCTGCTCCATTGAGTAGTTTCTGCTTCGTCCATGTTGTTGTTGTTGTCTGTCTCGTCTCTTTTGTTCAGTCTCCTCCTTTCATTCGCTCCCACCTTCCATCCACACTGTATGTATCTATCTTTTATTTATGTATTTTTTCTTATGCTGAAATTCACTTAGACCTTGACACAGACTCACATTCACCGAGCTGAAATGTGTTTGGGTTGAATTGCAATGAATGTGATTTTTCCCACCAGTCAATACGCTTTTGTGCTGACTGTCATTCACAATGACAGCTGTCCTCAAGTCTTCTACCGTGTGTGTGTCTGTGTGTTTGTGTGTCTGTGTGCAATCATTGGCAGGTTGTGCAGTGTGGAAACTTGCCAGGAGCAACATTATGACAGACATTGACAGTTCTTTTAACAGAAGAACTATTGAAGTGTCTCTGCCAGTTTAGTGGCCACGGGTCAATTTGCTCAATTTGTTCCAGTCTCAAAGTGGAGATCATGTGGAGAAACACAGACCTGTAGCAAAGAGCCAATATCGCTTCTACTTCACCACTGACTTGTGTGACGTTGAACAGATTCATCCGTTAATTTGTGGGATTTGTTCACTGTGACAGTGGAGCTGGTTTATTCTGAAGCCTGAGATGCTAAATAATGATTAATGGTAGATGTTGCAGCAGAGTGGACATTTGTTTGCCGTCAGTGTCGGGATGAAAAAGCAGAGCCGCACACAGAGAGAGGATGGAGATAATTTGTCGATATGTTTTGATTTGTCCAGAGATCATGTATGAAAAGCGTTTTAATCATTAAATGTATATAACACTGTTTCCTGTCTTTCTCCAGATCACCTACAAGGCCCTGAGCTCGTTGGATCCCAGCGCAGATCTGACCACGCAGAGGGGACGAGTGTTCAAGCTGAGGAACGAGACCCATCATCTGTTTGTGGGACTCTACCCAGGAACCACGTACTTCTTCACCCTGAAAGCCTCCACCAACAAGGGCTTCGGTCCGCCCGTCACCACCCGCATCACCACCAAGATAGCAGGTAAGAAATATTTCATTATTTAACTTTGATTTACCTAAACTGAAATTATTCAATAAATATGCTGATGAGATTTTTTCGCTTTTAATTTTGTGGTCTAATTTAAATTTTGGACGATTGCTCAAACAAACACCCACTGGGTTTTACTATGACAGTAGCAGCAGGTAAGGTGCGAGACGTTGAAGGCTGCTTTGTCCGGAGCAGCCGGTGTCTTGACGTGTCAGTCATCTTCTTTGTGAATGTGTCAGTCTGTGTTTTTGTTTGTGTCTCTGACCATTTTCATATCTCTGTCTTTCCTCTCTCCAGTTCTAACCCTCTGTTTATGTCACCAACCTTCATCCATAGAAAATGGGAAAAACAATCTCTCGATAAAGAAAGAAGCCGTGACGCACCTTCCCATGTTAATATCTTTCTTTATTGTGGAACAGGCGGAGTGTTGGGGCTGTTTGGTGAAAGGTTTCTTTTGTAGTTTAAATGACAGATGCTAAATAAAAATCCCTTTTGCGTTATTCTCTCTTTGTGTCTCTTCTTGACCTTTTTCTCTCTGACTCAACCTTTCTCCAGCTTTACCTCTGTCTCTCCACCACTTTCCCTTTCCCCCTTCCTTCTCCTCTTCCAGTGCCTCAGTTGCTTTCTTCTTTCTTCCTCTGTCTCTGATCATCTTTTTCCTCTCGTCTCTAATGATCCCTTTCAAAATGTTATACCTCATTGTCTTCTCTTTTCAGGATGTTATTTCGGTTTCCTCCTCGCTGAGGTGGTTTTGACCTTTTGTTGTTCAGCAGGAAGCTGGTCAGCGATTGGCTCAGAGCTGAGTCTCTGCAGATATACTGTGGTGATAAACTGTACATCACTTAAAATGGCTGTTCTGGGAGAAAACAATAGATTTTTATGTAACTGAATCACAACTTGCAAAGAATTATGTGTCGTTATTGTCTGCAGTACCGATCGTAGACTGTAAAAAGGATGGACGACCCGTCTCCACCTCCTCTTGTTCAAAATTGGAGCTGTAATATCCAGGATATGGCCGCTGCCATCTTCTGCTTTTAATGTAGGGTTAAGGTTAGGTGATCATAAAGTGCTGTAGTGATGTCAAAGTTCTGCAGATGTATACAATCCGCCAGTTAAGTGTCAGCTGTCAGGATTACAGAATCAAATATAGGAAAACATAGTGTGATCAGAAAAAGAACTAAGACCCAAATCGAACGAGGGGACGACATACATGTGATGTTTACTCTGAATCTTTAGTTTGGTCCATGTCCTATCTGCTAACATGGAGGAGGCTGGGCCTATACTTCAGCCAGCCACCAGGGGGTGATCCAGATGATTTGTTTTCACTTTGGGGGGGGCTCAGATGGTTCCATCAGGAGTCTTAACTGCAACTATGCATGATTCTGACAGTAATCCATTATTTGCACAGTGCTAAGAGAATTATTTAAACATATAGAACAATGTAAATCACAGGATAGTTTATTTTCAGAGTGAAGATGGTTCCTTAACATTCGGTTTGTGCATTAAAGCCAAATACGAGCAGTACTGATGTTGTCCTGCAGCCACACAGCTGACCCCTGTTGAGTAAACTCCAGAAGACTCCACTCTAATGTGTCATCAGAGCGTTACACCACACGTCCTCTCTTTCCGCACCTACCGTGACCTTTCCTCCATCATTCCTTCAAATCCTAACAACATGTTGCTAAGAGGAGAGAAGAAAAAAAAAAAGAACACGGCACTTCAACACATTACGGAGACGTCTCTCTCCAAATGTCACGCCATCCCCTGTCTTCGTTATCTCATTCAGGGACCGACGGATGGAGGGATTTAAATTAAACGATGTCGACAGTTAGGGATGGATGTACGGAGGAGGAGAGGAGTCGTTTTAATAACCTAAATGTCAGCGCAATCAGTGAAAAACCTGTTGATGTTTTACAGGCACCGATGCTACACCTCAAATATGAGGCCGTGACGGATGTTAAATTAAAAAACTTGAATGTAATTGAATGTGTGTGTGAAGCCTTCCAGAGTGGAGGACACGTCTCCTCCGTCTGCTCGTAACAGAACCTGAGTAAATGTAATAACGCAGACACAGACGGACCCAGAGATAAGAACAAGCAGAAAATGAGATTTGTTTTTATTTGCTCTTTTTGTTTTTCCATCAGCTCCACTGATGCCAGAGTACGAGTCTGAGGCTCCGCTGAACGAGACAGAGACCACCATTACCATCCTGCTGAAGCCCGCCCAGTCACGAGGAGCTCCCATCAGGTACAGCCCCTGTTTCACTCTTTTATTTGTCTTTCTTCGTCGTCCTAACACCCCTTCTTCTTCCTCTCCTCTCACTTTCTCTCCTCCTTCATCCACTTTCCTCTCCCCTGTCCTCCCCCGAGGGGTCTATTTCAAAGTCATTAAAGCCACTCACACATATAAGTCCAATTTGTATGCAACAGAAGGCAAGAGAATGGGATTTCTTCACAGGCGTTTCGTCATTAGTCACTTCCGTCTTGTAGCTTTTTAGCTGCTGCATTATGGAGATGCGGCTCCTCGGCGGGCTGAAGGTAATTTGGCGATCAGAGTCTGGTCCCTGAAGAGTCGACTGCTTCAGTTGAAGCTTCCTGCCAACGGCTTGTTGAGAAAAAAAGAGATTTATCCTTCATTCACAAAAGAGCAGCGATACAGTTTGGTGTGCAGTGACCCGGATCAGACATCTGCGTCTTTTCAATCAAGATTTGAGATTTTTGAGATTTTAGCATTTAAATTGTTTTGTTTGGTCGATGAATGAAATTAAATTAAATGAATAGCAAACTCATCAGAAACACGAACACTTCAACATACGTCACTATGATGAGAACTACCTAAAACGATGAACCATAAGGGACTTATACAGCGGTCATCCACCAGGGGGCACTCAGCACGTTCTCCATCGATCGTGCGGCGACCGTTTAGGGGATCCGTGGTATTGAGCTCCCGATTCACCAAACCCGACCAAACCCATGTCCCATCTACTAACATTGAGGAGGCAGGGTTTCAGAGCTCTACTGGAACCAGCCACCAGATGGCGATAGAGACGCTTTGGCTTCACTTATAGGCAGCTGTCATATCGTCCATCTTTATGTACGATGATACCGATCAGTCGTGTTTTTTAACAATGCACCTTTTCTAAAGTAGTGGAAGTGAAGAGCTGCTGTTTCCCGTCACTTGTTTTCTGAGTTGATCATTTTCTTGCGATCAGTAAAAATATAAAAACTCATATTGGAAATAACATAAACACACTCAGGCGTCATTCTCCCGTTCCTCAGTCCACAGCCTTCCCACCGGTTTGATTTAAAATGGACACACAGTTAATTTATTCATTTTCATTTTATCTTTTTTTTCTACCAAGCATGTTTTTTAATTAAAAGTTCACTTTGAACATGTGATCTCATCCATTTAATTGGTGTAGGGGAGAACATTATTCTCAGTCGCCTTCAGGGAAATATGGTTTAGACGATGGTGTGTGGAGAATATATATCACTTCAATTTGGACTCGGGGAAATGTGTTTCTGAAATGTGAGCGTGGGTCAGTGGTTTAGTGTTAATATCTGTAAATCCCATATCATATATTTCCATTTATATCCCACACACAGCAAATACTGTATATCTTGTGTTGAATTAGGCTGCACTCCAGCATATGTTTATCAACCTGAGATAAGCCCTTATCGTGCAGACTTATTATGTGTGTTTTCTGCAAGAATTACACACTTTAAGTGCCGACTGGTGAACGCGGAGGAGCAGAGACGAGTCATGTGTTGGTTAGAGTGCAGGATGAGATCAATGCACGAACTGTGTTGGTTGTTTTATACTTATATTTATTCTCAGATCAGAGAAAGTTCGGGATGAGAAATGTTTACAAAAGTGGCCGAGTACACACACACACACACAAACACACGTTTACACAAACACACACACACACATATATACACATGCAGACTTACATAAATGCACAACCTGAATCCAGCCGTGCAGATCAACAGTGGAGGTCAATAAAAACACATTTGTGTTTTCATTTGGACTTAACTTTAAATTTAACTTTAAAATCCCAAACTCAACCACCACACAGCCTTTTGAAGAAGTGATGAAAAGAAGGAGATGAAAATGTCCCAAAACCTCCTCGCTTCACAAAAAAACCCCTCACTTTGTGAAAAAGGTCTTTATTTGACTAAAGTTCTGAAAGAACAAACCTTCATGACGAAGACAGAAGCACAACACGCACGATATGCACAAGAACACGCGTAGGTTTGTGAACGCATCATGAACACAAACGACCCTGTTCGTCCCCTTTCTCAGCTCCAGCTTCTTCCCTTGTGCAGCCTCCGAAAATCATCGGATTCAAATGGATATTTCACTAGAAAGACGGAAGCAGGAGCGAGAGACAGGGACAGAGAGAGAGAGAGAGAGGAATGGGGGGGGG